TGGGAGGCTGGTTCTCCCCCACCCTCAATGTCTTTCCTCCCCTCCGGTGCCAGGCTGCCACTTCCAGGGTCAGGACCTCGCGGACGGAGAGACCTTCCCGGCCCCCGGCGGGCGCTGCGAGCAGTGTCGCTGCCTGGTACGTGGCAGGCTCTGTGGGGAGAGGGCCGGGCACAGCCCCAGGGGGTGCAGGGAGCCTTGCACAGGGCTTGTGCCAGGGGGGATGGAGCCCGAGGGGAGCGGCGGCACTAGGGAGGGGGCTCAGCATGGCTGAGGACTTGCCCCCCTCACCGCCGTGCCTTGCCCTGCCCTCTTGCAGCAGGGAGAGGTGTCCTGCGGGCCCCTGTCCTGCCCTGGGGTGAAGTGCCCCCACCCAGCTGTGGGCCCCTGCGACTGCCCCGTGTGTGACGGCTGCAGCTTCCATGGGCGAGCGTGCAGCAACGGAGACCGCTTCCCCGACCCCCATGACGCCTGCCGCCTCTGCTCCTGCCTGGTGAGTGCCCCGTGTCCACCCCCGAAATGCAGCCAGCTCTGGGGAGGGCCCGAGCAGCAAACAACGCCACATGGTGCTGGGGACGGGGGCACAGTCCTGGCGCCAACTGCCTCTGCCGGGGATGCTGGAGTCACCCCGGGGCCTGGCCCAGGACAGTGGGCCGGTAATAGCCACAGATGGGCAGGGCCTTGGGCTCAGGTAAGGCAGTTTCTCCAAAAGCACAGTGCCCACTGGTGCCACCCTGGGGCCAGCACTGAGTGCCAGGAGAGGTGCCCCTGCAGAGCTAGCCCCTCCCTGCATGTTTCCCAGCGCTGGCCCGGCCCTGCCTGTGGGCACCACGGGGGCTTGAGGTCCCAGGGACGGGCTGCTGGCTCGGGGGGGACGTTCGGTCCCTTGTCTGCCAGGCTGGGAGCCTGGCTAGCTGTGATGCCAGCGACTCTTGCCCCGCAGGATGGCAGCGTGACGTGTGTGCCCGTGCCGTGCTCCCCCGCCCCCTGCCGGAACCCTGTCAACCTGCCCGGCCAGTGCTGCCCCCAGTGCTCCGGCGCCTGCCGCTACCAGGGCCACCTCTACGAGAGCGGGACCACCTTCCGCCCCCCAGCGGGGGACCCCTGCTCCACCTGCACCTGCCTGGTGAGTGAGCCAGCCCGCAGCGCCCGCCTGCTCCACCCCGAGCCCCCCGACCTCTACCCGGTTCCCCCTCCGACCCCTGCCCTGATACACCCGGATCCCCCCGACCCCCGCTCAGTTCTTCCCTCCGACCCCTGCCCTGATACACCAGATCCCCACAACCCCTGTCCCGTTCCCCCTCCGACCCCTGCCCTGATACACCCGGATCCCCCCGACCCCCGCACAGTTCTTCCCTCCGACCCCTGCCCTGATACACCCGGATCCCCTCCACCCCTGTCCCGTTCCCCCTCCGACCCCTGCCCTGATACACCCGGATCCCCCAGACCCCCTTGCAGTTCTTCCCTCCGACCCCCGCCCTGATACACCCGGATCCCCCAGACCCCCTTGCAGTTCTTCCCTCC